AGTATTAATAACATAAAACTTTCCCGCCTTTTCTTAAAATGTGCATTAAAATATTATTTTTAAAATGTCCATAAACAAAATAACATTTATAAAAGTAAAAAATTAGCCAGCGGCAAAAACCGCACAGACTTTTTGGCCAATCCATTACACAGGTTTCTTATCAGAATTATTTTGTATATAACACATTAATTGGGCGATTTTGTATAATACAGTAAAATAACGTTTATAATGTTAAATAAACAACAATAGTTTTATTTCTTCTGAAATCACAATAATTCTCAAACCCTAGTAATTTATCTCAATTTCAAACGAAAACTTTGAAATTCTTCCCACAATAAAAGCAACAAAGCGAGCCCTATGCAATTTTTAGTAGTCTATACATTGCGAATAGCATCGGATCACTGGGCATTTCTCACCCAATAGCGTATGATTTATCGTGCGAACATGATGCGCGGACTGACCGTCATATTGTGCAGATTTATGATAGATGGGTTCCACTGTGCATGGGGTGTTTGATGTACTACGAAAGTAAATTCTTTTGGAAAAATTGTTAAGTTTAGACATGTATGCAACTAACTGAAAATGGTAGCGTATGTTTAGACTGATGTTTAGAACGAGATTCTTACAAAAAAAACAAGATAATCACGATTTTTTTTGGATATATTTTTTACATGAACGCAAGTACTGGTAAAAATGTGTTAAATACCGAGTTTAGCGATAATTGATAATTGTAATTTTGCAGATGTATAAACCTTTATCATAATAATAATAATAATAACACACACACTCAACTAGCCCCGCACTAGGGAAACCCTGTGTCGCGGGTGCCATGGACACACATATAGACAACCACAAATTACACCCAAACTCACGAGAGAAACAAATGTAGGTCATACAAATATTTCTCCCGGCCCGGGAATCGAACCTGGGACCTCTGCGTGGCAGTCCGGCATGGTAACCGTTCGGCCACAGAGGCAGTTTGGCATGTACTCCCGGACACATAATTCGAGCCACCTTATATTTTCAATATTAAATGCCTTTAGATTAAACAATGCTTGATTGATCAAGAACTATTATGCAACTTGGAAACTTGTATACTAAACGTCATTTCCTTAAGTCCTTATTGAAAATTTAAAAAACCGAAGAAACCTTTTTCTTCGATGCTTACCATATTTTTTATTCTAGCCCTTTAAGGATAAAAATGCAAGGTGCCTCGAATTATGTGTCCGGGAGTATATATAAATGCGCTTCTATTTCGCACTGCAAATTGAGCATCACTCTTTCTTTTTAAAACCTGGCCGCCAAGTCGGTATAACCAAGATTCAAAATTGACTTAGAATTTAAACAACATACAACTTTGTATTAATCTATTTTTCCTGCAGGTGGTCTCCCCAACGGGCAAGACAGACGACTGCTTCATCCAGAACATCGATGGCGACCAGTACAGCATCAGGTTCATGCCTCGCGAGAATGGTGTTCATAGCATCAATGTTAAGTTTAATGGTATCCACATCCCGGCTTCACCGTTGAGGATCAAGGTTCGTATTTGGTATTAAGTTTTTGAAAGCATCTTGCGTGTTATACGCCCTTCTATCTTGTCCTATGATCCATTTTAATTTTGCCACCAAGCACTAACGTGAGTTTTGATAATAATGCAGCAGCGGTCTGCTTTTGAAAGCGGTACTGGTGCAATTATACGCACATGGACCTTGTCAGCTTTATGTCTTAGAGTGACAAGTGCGATGTCCCTCAGATATTTGCGATTTAAATTCATAATTCACTAATTCATGTGGTGTTACGCATAAAGTATTCCAGAACATGAACCCTTTAAGGGCACTACAATAACCATAAATTAATTAATTATAAATTTCGTACATATTAACTTATCTTAAGAGCAAGTGCTCGGGTTTTAACCCGGCGCCTTGTAAACGCCGGGTTTAAGTCGGGTTAAAACTCATTAATGCCGAAATGGAGGGCAAAAACTATTTACAACAAAATATTTGTAAATCGAGTTTTGTTCAAATGTAATGGACGTTGTTACAAAATTTATTGAATCGATTCGCTGGAAAATAGCATTGAATCGAATCGATACAAAAAATCGTTAGATCGTATACATTTGAATCGATTTTCATAAAAATCGTATCGTAATATGCATCCCTAGTAGTAAGTGATATTCTACAGGATTGCAAGGAGGGTATTGTGTGTAGTTGCCTGTTTTTCATCTAAAAAGATTTTTATATCGAAATGTCCAATAGATGTGGAATTATATCAAATTCTGTATTATGTTACGCGTGTTACGTTTTCGCCCTTGATTTTTTTGGACAGAAATGGGTTAAAATCCGCTTTAGGCAATGACCCGGTTAAAACTCGGGTGGGTTGATTGGACTCACTGGCCATCTTTGCAATGCAGTTATTAATTATGTTAAAAGCAATATAAAAATTTAGTTCACATTAATTGACGTTAAAAAGTCATTGACTTACAAATAAATGGACGACGGGTCTAATACAAAAACCACGAAAAAAATGTCCCAAGTCAACCTATTCGAAATTTAAATTGTAATGTCATCGCAGTATCGCGCTGTCAGTAGAACAAATGAAGACTAAAGCGGAGTGTCGCGCTCTGTATACGATTTTAGCGCCTTAAAAGTGCGGACACTTTTTAGCGCGGACCCGACGTCCATATAATTGTAAGTCAATGTAAAAAGTGCATAAACATAGTGAAGTCAAGCTGATTTAATTATACATTTAATTTTAATTCATTGTTACAAAAACTTGTACGTCTCGTTATTTGATATCATGAAAAATCCATATCACGTATATAATATGATAGTTATAATTTAATTAACAAAAAAAAAAAAACTTTTAGCCTATGAACAAAACACAGTCTGTAACTTTCTGAATGATGAGATAATAGATAATATGTATTAACTGTTTCTTAATGTTGTAAACAATTAGTCCATCTATCGATATAGTCTATCGATACTACAATGAACACTAACTATCGATAGTCCAACAGTATCGACAATATCGATACCTGATACCTGCAATGAACACTACGCCATTTTTATTTTTTGGTCATTTTCTGTTATTTTGTAAACAGCCATATTTATTTACTGATATTATCCTCTCCGAATTTTGTGGAAAAAATAACAAGAACACAAAATTCTAAAAAAAAGCAACAAAAAATTAAATAACTTAAGAAACTTAATAAATTAAGAAACACAAAATAAAATAAAAACAGAACAAGTCCAAAAATTAAAATGGCGTAATGTTCATTGGAGGTATCGAAATTCTCGTCACAACTAGTTTTTCCGATAAGTTCATGAGAAATTCTCCAAATGTACAGAAACTGATTCTTGCTATGAACCAGCATATTGGAAACGTGCTTTTCTACTTGGATATTAATTTCGGTTTTTCTGGCACTCATAACATTGGGAATTCCCTCGTTTGAGTTTGAGACCAGTTAGTTTGTGTTAAGAGTGGCACTAGACTTACGTTGTTAATGGTTTATCAGGTTGGAAAGGATGATGCTGATCCAGCTGCAGTACACGCTCATGGTCCTGGTCTTGGACAGGTTAAGACTGGTAAGTTCTGTATTTTTTCTTCTTCTATCTTAGCAACAGGATCTATTTTTTTCCTTGTAATTTTTCAAAATTAAATTAGAGTAAAGACGATAGTCGCACCATATCAAAAGCTTTGGTAAAGCCCCAACTTTGATGTTCATTTAAATAATATATATAAATTATACGTAGAACTGTTAATAAAGAAGGAAAAGTTTGCCTAGGATGTAAGGATGAGGTTAAAGCTATTTGATTGCTTATATTTGCTGTCTTTGAAACAGGTGTGAAGACAGATTTGATCATTGATACCTGCAACGCTGGCGCTGGTATCCTCAATGTCACCATAGATGGACCTTCCAGAGTGGCCATGGACTGCACTGAAGTCGAAGAGGGTTATAAGGTAAGATTTTCACTATCAGTTCTTATGCGTTAGGCATGGGTAATATAATTTCATGCTTCTGGCGCAACCAAATGTGCATTTAGTTTTGTATGAAACACAAAACCGGTATTTTAAAGTACTTTTCTGGATACCTTATGTTATATGAACATGATGTATTTAAAAAAATACTTTATTATAGAATATGTAGCGCTAAATTAGAATGTGATATTTTCGTTATAATATAGGTATGCTGGTTGATTACGTGATCATAGGAATAATATTGTTTGGACCTGAAGCACATCACATTTTAAATGAATTAAAAATAAATATTATATAAATATAAGCCAACATCACATACGTTGCTATGATCTTAAAGCAAGTGACTAAAACACTTGTGTTATGGAAATCGGAAACAAGGACCGTACGACAAACACCCGGATCCGAGACAATGTAGAAAATTTAGTTTTCTACATTGATTAATAGATGTATCTATTTGTCAAGATTTATTGCAATCGGTTAGCAGATAGTGCGCGAATTCATCCCCATGGTTTTCCAAACTTAGAGGTGGAATATTTTCTTCAAATTTAAATGGGACTAACACTGATAAAGAGGTTACCTCTTTCCAACAAAAAAAAAATCATCAAAGTCGGTTAACAAATGCCGAGTCATCGCGTAACATAAATACAAAAAAAATAGCAGAATTCAGAACTTATTTTTAAGTCGGTTGTAAAGTCATATTAGGAAATTAAAGCGCTAAACAGAGATACTTGGTAAGTACTTCAACGACAAGAGCTTAGTTCTTAAGTAAGAAGAAGAATTGCTAACTAATCCTTGTTTTTTATGTCATATAAAATGTTGGAAGAGTTGCTTTGTATGGTTATAATTATCGATTCCATCTCTATGAGCCTCCTCGCACGACGCACCATCCTTTTGCATGTACTTACGACTGGCGCATCTAGGGTAACAATCGATAAGTACCTTACGCCGACTGGCAAATCCATTCGCTACGATGGAAAGCATTACAGTGTACGCTATTGTTACGATAAGAAGAAGGTCTCTTATACAATGTACGTCGAATATTCTGATGTTAACTATGAATCTTGATTTATCCCTACAGGTGAGATACACCCCATTAGCGCCTGGCAACTACTTCTTGAGCGTGAAGTACAACGGTGCCCACATCGTTGGTTCGCCGTTCAAGATTGAGTGTACTGGTGAGTATAATACAACAAGAAACAACTATTTATCTGTAACACACTTTGAAATAAATACCGTCACTGAATGCAAAAACTCAACTTCCGGGATGGCTAAGTTTCTGAAATGAAGTTTTAAAAAAGGTACATTTTTAATTTTTTAGGTTTCAACGTCCTATAGGTGTCTCTTATTTACTCTTTTCTATTAATAAAGTCATGACTTTTTACTAATTCGAGTTAGAAATAGGAAATGGAACTATTTGTTCGACAAAATTCATGTCCTATTTTTACCAATGTTTGAACGCGGTTTGAACCTTTGTAGTTTGACATTTGTTCATTGTCTGTTGTCTTTGAGATAATCCAGCTAACTTTATTAGTCGTGATCGTGATTTTCATATTTTTAATCACCACTAGTATATCATTGACTATGTTAGCATTACTGTGTTTAAGAAATATTTAAACATATAATTTAAAATGTAAAATGTAATGTAAAAGTAAATAGTAGTAGAATTTATAGATTTAGAATATGGCAATGTTCCATTTTAATTTTGGTAAGGCAACACTTTTTTTTCTCTCTTCTCCAAAAACCCTTGTAACGGCACGTCTAAAATTTAAGTGTCTAATATTTAAATACAGTCCATTATTACAACTTGCATTTTATTTGTACAACTGCGTCCCGGTTCCGAAGGGTAAAGTTGATGGTGAAATTACAGGCGCATGGTCCTTGTCAACTTATGTCTCAGGTTGTCGGGCGCAGTGGCAGTGCCCCTCAAATCTTTGTGATTTAAAGCTCTGAGTGGCACAACTACTACTACAACTGTTAGGGGTAGACGTGTCGCATTCCACCAGGCATATGACTTGTTCGTCCCGTCACTTCATATTATAAAAAAAATGCGCGTAAACGTACGAAATAACGCGGGACAGACGCAGTGGCTTTGTGTATTTCGGTAGGCATGTCGGTTGCCACCAGGCGCATGAATTGTTCGTCCCGTCACTTGACGTCATAAAAAGTTACCCTTTTTGTCTCAGGCAACAACCTAGCGGAAGTAGGAGCCCAGGAAACGTCGTCAGTAACAGTGGAGACTGTCCACAAAGTGTCCAAAGCTGGACAGAAACAAGGCCCGGTGCTGCCTCACTTCAAATCTGACGCATCGAAGGTCACCAGCAAAGGCATGGGCCTGAAGAAGGCGTACCTCAACAAAAACAACCAGTTTACTGTCCACTGTGGAGATGCAGGTTGGTTTTCGATAGTTTTAGTATCATGAAATTGTAACAGTGAGTTATTTAATATAAAATAATGTTTTTCATTGTTACACATTTGAATTTAGTATGGACTTGAATCAATCTTCGCCCTAAATACCGAATAGTGTAGGTAGCTTCTGTCACTTTCGTAACTACCTTTCCGAGAAGAACTACACACGCCTGCAAATTTAGCGGAACAAAAAAACGTGAGAATATAAAATGGTTAAGTTTATAATATATTCATATCTTTTAATATACAATTTTACTGAACCTTTATTGAAACTAATTCCAAATTAAAAATAATGTATTTTTTTAAAGATTTTGTGACAAACCACAAACAGTAGCTTAGTTGGTATAGCGTCTGGCACGGTATGCAAGAAGACGTCGGTTCGAATCCGACCGGATGGAAGGAATTTTTTCTGAGTGTTTTTTCTGAGTGTTCGATCTTTGTATTAATAATTATAACAAACTAGTGGAGTAATTTCACAAAAAATAATTGAATATCAATTCAATAAAAATTTAATTAAACCACAAATAGTTTAAAAATTTAAAATTTAATTAAATCAAATTACAATAAAAAAATTTTCTCGAACCACTCGATAAATCTGTATTAGTAGGAAATTAAAGCAAGTTAATGAAAAAGCGATAGTCTACTAATGTTTTATTTTCAAATTAGACCTTAAATAAAAATGTGAAATAACCGGCCAGACTTTTGAAAAAAACCTATAGTCCGTTCTAATCCATTTTCAACAAAATGTAAACCTGTTTGGTTAAAATTCTAAAGCTAATGGAATAAGTAACACTTTCACGTATATTTCGAAGTTTTCGATTTGATGTCTTATCACTTTTTCCAACAATATTCATTTGAATAGCCTCGTAAAATCGTATTTGAAAAATGGTAGTCCAAAAGTAAGGTTATATTTCATCTATACTTCTATGACTTGTCTATGGTTGCATAGTGCTGTAGAAAAAAAATAACATTCCATTCATACAATTAAAGTTTTTGTAGTCGATTGGTAAAGATAAGTAATAAGTAAAGGTAAGATAGGAAGAAGAAGTATAAAGATTTGAAGGAGGATTTAAAATTAAGATTTCGGAAATTTTAAATATATGCTTTGATACGTTATGTATTTTTACTATTCATGTAAGGAAAACCGCTAGAATGACTCAATTAAACAAATCGATTAATTCAATTAATTAATCAATTTTTAGTTTGCATTACAATTGGCCATCACTAAACCGTCTATGGTCAGGTCAGTAACATGTTTGTTTACTTTTTGTTTAAAATGGATTGAAACGAAGTATAACTGCATATCACGCATATTTTGGGGGTTTTACTAGTGTTCAGCTAAGTTTATTGGTGCGTCTAATATGTCTTTAGAAATTATATCCGTTGTCTTTTCTGCCACGAAGCTCGTAGCTGGGGGTCTACTTTCGTTCTTCGTCCAAAATAATTACTGTCAAATAAGTAATATTCGACCAAATGAACTGTCGCATGGTGCGAATCAATCTTTATACTTGACATTGTTTTTTTGATTTGGTCAAGTATTAATTATTTAACGGTAATTGTCTAACAAATATTGAACTCACCTTTCGAATTTCAAGGTAATAACATCCTCTACGTCGGTATCTACGGACCCAAAGGACCATGCGACGAAGTCCAGCTCAAACACAAAGGAAAGAACAACTATGAATGCTGGTACATCGTCAGAGACAGGGGGGAGTACATCGTCATCGTCAAGTGGGGAGATGACCATATCCCTGGATCCCCCTACAAGGTTGAGGTCTAAGAGGTACAAAAACGACAGCGTATGTAAGATGAGGGTATATCGATCCCTCCTACGTACAGAACTTTACATGGGAACGTTTTAGTGTATCTAAAGGACTAAATTTTAGACCGCAGTCCTTGAAGACAAAAGTCTTTGAGCAGTGCGTGTTGCCAACAATGACCTACTGCTCTGAGACGTGGTCACTTACTATGGCCACTTACTATATTACACTCAACGAGCTAAGGAGCGAGCAATGCTCGGCATTTCTCTACGTGATCGAATCAGAAATGAGCAGATCCGTAAAAGAACGAAAGTCACCGACATAGCTCGAAGGATTAGCAAGTTGATGTGGCAGTGGGCAGGGCACATAGATCGTAGAACTGACGGCCGTTGGGGCAGAAAGGTTCTTGAATGGAAACTACGAACCGGAAGGCGTTCAGTGAGACGGCCCCCTACTAGATTGACGGATAACCTGGTAAGGGCGGCGGGTAACCGATGTATGCACGTCGCCTCCGATCGGCTGGTCTGGAAATCTTTAGGGGAGGCCTATGTTCAGCAGTGGACGTCTTCCGGCTGATATGATGATGATGAAATTTTAGTTCTTTAGATGTATCTAAACAATGTATTGTTAATAAAAAAAATTGATTAACCAAGTATTATTGAAATCAGTTAAGGGTCAGTCAGTCATCCCCTAATTTGCTACCCTTAGAGGTGGAATACTTTATTCGAATTTGATGGATGTGAATGAAACCACTACTGATGGTTTGACTCCCTTTTCCCTCTCCAACAAAGAAATAATCATCGAAATCAGTTCACAGATATCGGAATAATCGCGTAACATATCCACAAAATAATATGCAGTCGAATTGAGAACTCCCTCTTTTTTGGAAGTCAGTAAATAAAAAGAAAATGATTTATTAAAAATGTACCTATTTTTTGCTTACGATAGATTACGTAGGAGGAATCGATATCAGGGCGCGTTCTGGAAATTTCTACGTGGTTTGTTGTTGAGAACTTTATATTTATTTTGTTTCATAAACTGTTTTTAAATTGTGGCAATACATTATTTCCTATATTTCTGTATGAGTCTCTAACAGATATGTTTGGAATCTGTTATGGTAGAATAGGTTCCATTTTTGACGTCATTTTACCAATAAGTAATGTGTTTTCTAGTCATGTAATTATAGACAACTGATTATATTTTGTCTTTTAATTATGATAATGACTAGAATCTCTTTTATTTGTTACAAACCCGAGCAGTAGAGCGTTTCAAGAAAAAGTCAGTCGTATTTTAAAAGACAAAATAGTGCAGTTGGTATCATCGTAGATCCTTATTTATTATCTTTAAAAATATAATTTAAAAAATCACATACGCTGTCGATTGAGTTTTGTCTTGATTTTCGATGATTTTGTTCTTATTTCTCTTTTAAGGGCATAATCATTGAATATCATTTTTATAACGTTATAATTTAACTCATAAGCTTTGGATTACGAGAAAGTTTATTTTGTCTGTCATAATTTTTAATCGAACTTTTCAGATATATGACGAACTTTAAACTTTATCGTACATTCAAATTAAAAAATATATTTGTGCTTCGTTTTCTTGTTCCTGTATCTTCTTTAAATATCATAAGAATCAAAGAATATTTAAGCATTTTCAAATATCTAACAATCTGATAAATAATTTTGTCATATTTTTCTGGTATATTGTGTACCAATTTTTAGGACAATTTATATGATTCTCGTTTAGTTTTTAGGGCGACTAAATGACAATACATATGAATTATTATCTTTAATAAATATTCCCTTTTTATATCTAAGTTTTAGCAAAGACGCATTTGCGTAATCCATAAATTTTATGCGAATTTATTTTTTATATATAATAATATTATTTTATAAAGTTTAATTTAATAATTCTTTCTACATCTTTTTTAAATAAAAGTCAAAATGCTAGAAGAATTTTTTAACTGAAATTCGCATTTATTTTATGGATTTAGCTAATCTGGATTACAGATTTTTTCGATCTCAATTTTAATAAAATAATATCTATCAGTTTCATGAAAAATCTGTAACACTTGTGACGGCTCTTTGCAATCTTGTGGTATTTGGTTTATAAAAATTTCCAAAATTATTTTTAATCGTAATTTTTTTAAATTTATTAAAAGTTTTTCGTGTCATAAATACAAATATAACAATAATGTATTATATCAAATATCATTCGGTTGCTATGAAAATGCGTCGTTTTAGTTATGAGTGATCATATGTTTTGCTTTCTAATTCTGAATGGTTTGTGCTGAATGTTGCCATTTACCTACGTAGGTAGAATCCCATGTACTGTAAATACCTATTTTAAGTATTTAATATTATTATTTAATGTATTTTGCGACTGTTAACTAAATAAAAAAAGAGGAAAGTTTAGAGAGTTTTTTATTTGTAACATTTCTATAAATAACTTTTATGAGTAAGTCGTCGCTTGGCAGTAAGCGACAAGTCTATCCATAACAGTTGCACTGTCGCTGCACCGGTCCCTCAGAGACATAACATTGACAAGTCCCTCTTCGTCCGTCCCTCTCCGCTTACTCCTTACCGTCAGAAATAATTTAGTAGCCGTACTTCTCTGGACGAACTCTTTTACAAGGAGCTGTAGTGCTAGTAAAGCGCAGGCCACACCGAACGAAGCTACGTTAACTTAGTTTAGCTCACGTAGTTGAATGCAAAGCTAATCTAAGAACACTTGGACACGTGCTGGATCGTAGCTTCGTTAGCTCGGTTAGCTAGCTTAGTTCGCGGTGTGAACCGAAGTGTCTATAGATGCCCCGGCTACGAGAGCTAAGTAAGCTTCGCTCCGTTCGCGGTGTGGCCCGCGCTTTAAGTACAAGAGACTTTTATGAAAATCACGTATGCTTTCGATTTATCTTTGTCTTAATTTTCAATGATTTTATTCCGCTTACCCTTTTAAGGGCATTATCATTAAATATCATTAAACATATGTATATAAGATACACTTCCGGCCATAATGTAATTCGAGCCACCACGCATTTTCAGTACTAAGTGCCCTAAGCTTAAACAATGTTTGATAGATCAAAAACTATATGAAATTTTGAAACTAGTATACTAAACGTTTTTTCCATAAGGACTTATGTTGGGAATTTGATTTTGCAACCGGGGAAAACTTTTTCTTCAACGATAACACTATTTTTGTATTCTAGCCTCTTACAACAAAATTACGAGACGGTTCGATTTAAGCGTCCGGGAGTATATAAGTAATATAATAACTATATATAGTATATAACAGTACACAAGGCATATATGTATATGTATAAAGAAAGGTTTATTTGTACTTTTAAATTCTGGTTTCACATAAGTATAACGTTTATTATTCAAAAGCGTTATTTGCCATGTCTGTAAATTTTGCATGTCGAAAATGAAAGATGACTTTATGGCTGTCATTAATCATGTTGAGGATTGAAAATAAAAGTCATAAATATAATTTCTTGGCATAGTTGTAATTAACATTTAATCAATTTTAAGTAACAAAAAAATTTCGTTCACTGTTCTATCTTAAACCGAACGCTACCAAGCGAAACTATCTTAAAAACGTAATTACTTACAAAAATATATTTAATCATAATAATAAGTTTACACTTAAATTAAAAAAAAAATCAAATTACAATATCACATTTCTACTTACAATAGAGAGATATTGGCGATCTTTTGATTTCTTTAACATTGAAAGAATTATCAAAAATTTTGGATAAACTCTTGGCTTGTCATGATTTTTAATACTATACATTAAGAAGTGCGAGTTTGACAATACATTTTGATAATGTTACTTATATAACAATAAGGAAGAAGTGTATATTGCCGTAGGTTCGCTTAAAAACAAATATTTGTACAAGAACTTAAGATTAGCATTTGGCTAACTTTGTGACAGTTGGTTTGGCTCCGAAACTAAAAGCCTTCAATCACAAATAACCACAACCTAACACTTGGAATACGTGATAACATGTATGACAATATTGTTCGATTATAAAAAAAATTGCCATAAAAAAGCTTGATTTTCTAGAACTTGGCATTTTTTACAATATTAAATTATATCAAAAAGCAATAAGTATGTGTTATTACGGTCTATGTTTTAAGTTGACATTAATAATAACGGATAGCATACTCGCTAACTCATATGAAATTTCTGTAGATACAAAAAGAAAACGTAGTCATAATAATTATAGATAAGTTTTTTCACATAATTTGCCATACTCAAACAGTGCAGTGCCAAGCCTAACAAAATGTAATTATCTAATCAAAAAGTAGCAACTAAATTTAGTCAAACAATTATGCTTCGAAACAATTATGCTCCAGGTTCTTCTCATCCAACTCCTATCACATTATTTTTAACTATTATATACGGGTTTAGCACAAATTAATACTTATAAGATTTATGACAAACGTGCGAGACGTTATTACGAAAAAGAAATCTCAAGTGTCAAAGTTTATGACATTTTTTTTTATTAATTATGAATTATGTCAAATTTGTTCATAATGATAATACTTCCAAGTAAAATTGTTTGTTAAGTTGTATTAAAATGACATACATCCTCCCAATTGCATCAAATTATGCGAAACAGATACAAAGATTCGAATAATAATAATAAAAAAATCAACAATTTTCGTATACATCAAAAAACTAGGACCTAAACCGATTCTCGATACGTCAAAGTAAGTACAAAAAGAAATTGACAGGAATATTTTTAATACAGTGTTTTTGTACCAGCTACCGTACCTTATTGCTAAATATAATTGAGCATAAGCATTTTAAGATTTATTTAAACAAAATAAAAATCAATATATTTCAAGGTTTCCTCAAAAAGTACTGTATTTACAAATTATTTACATAAAGTGCGCCATTTTGTATGAATTATGAATGGATATCAAGAACGAATATAAGTAATTTTGGCCACTTATCGATGTATATTCCTTTTTTATCTTAAATATAATTTGGAAAATATGTTATACCTTCGGAATTTTATAAAAAGGTACCCATATTTTCTTACATGGATTGATTACTCGGTAAAATCCTTTCTTTGATGTTGGCTCCAGATTCCACTCCTGCTTCGTGGAAAGTCACCCCGCGCTCTCCTGCATAATACCGTTGTCATAGCTATCCCAATAACAAAAACGTAATTTAAGAGATTTTATATTGCAAATGTACTTTTCAATAACGAAATACAACTCACGTTGACAACTGACATGACAAATATTTATCTGACATATGCTGAATTTACTTTCAGAGTGTCTTATTAGTTACGTCAAAATTGCTGTTATAACGAAACGAAAGCTGAATTTTGTACCCTGAAATGGTAGCGCTGGTTTTGATATTAATGAATGGGCTGTCTTTTTGAGAAATTACTTCTTGGTTGATTGTTCCTCTTAGTCTAAATAATCCAGGATCTGACCGAATATTAATCCATAAAAATTGTGATAGAAAAATGAAAATAAAGCTAAATTGAATTTATGTTCTAAGTATATAGGAACTGAGTGCAAAATTGATGTAGAGATCTGTCCTAACGAGACAGAGATTCCCAAAGTTTTACTTAATTCTTTTTGATAAATTATCTAAATGCTTAGCATAAATGCTATCAATAACATTACTACAAACAGACGTGGAGACAATTAGATTAGAAATCTGTTTTATTTTTTAATAAAATTTGAAAATTTTTCTAAAGGATATTATGTACTATATTTTTTAATATTATTTTGAGAATCGCTGTCCAATTGCTTAACATATTTAAAAAAATGCAACTGATAAATGAAATAACTGTGATTTCATTGAATTCTGATTAGTATTTATTATAATCCTTCAGGAACTTGAATTTTTCGCTATTTTTTAATGTAATTACACCATTTAGATTAGAATAAATAATATATATTGCAAGTAAATAACAAAGTTTGTACCAAAAATTATGAGAAATCCAATGTTCAGTAGAAATGTTAAGTAATGACAATGGAATTTCGAGTTTTGAAATAAGTACGAAAATAATTATTTTACGTCGAATATTTATTAAGTAATAAAAAAAATCAATATTTAAATACTAAATTCTAGACGAGAGAGCTCAAAAATTTGTTTGAGACAAAAATTTCAAAATACTGGACACAGAAATGTTTACTCGTTTGTTTATGTCTAGGCATTAAAAATAAAATCGAAATTGTAATCAAATTAAAAACTCGTTTTTTTAAAGCACCAGTATACGGTTCATAGTTCTAGGAAAGTTGAGAATCTGTGCTTAAAAAAAACAATTTTTTAAAAATAAAGTTTAAAATCTTTGAAATCACATTTGATTACCCAGTACATTTTGTAAACTACCCACAAATTCAGAGTATCCATACAAGATAACGATTTAAATCTAATAACATGGATTCGTAAGACGAATATTGATTGAATTTCACAAATATTCGCAAATAGTAATACCAGTGTAGTCGAGCGAGATTCTAAACATTTTTAATAATATTTTGTTTAATAAACTAGTAATACCATCGTAAGTACTAAATGTCAATGAAATAAGTGCTTAATTCACGCACTGCGTTTTTCCTATTGTCTGATTATTCACTTTTTTCATCGACTGTATTAATAATATAACGGCAAGGTCTCTACTGTTTATCTTTGTGTGACAGAGCGTGAGGGAGAATGTGTTCAGCAGGAAGCAATGCTGACGGTTGATGAGCATAATTCCTGATTTGATGAAGGGAAATCAGCTGATTAGGAAAGGAATTCGGCTGCTGCTTTGCTTGCTGGAAATGGAGGGGATCGTATAAGTACGGTCGCGCTGGTAAAGCGCTGTGATGCGACAGCCCATTCAAGTGTGGTGCCATGGAGTTTATAGGAGTGAAAGCGGAGTTAGCAGCCGAGGATACAGGTGGCTGAATACGATCATCTTGAGCTTCATGCTGAGCGAACAAAGCGCGCTGCTGATGCAACTGTTGCTCGTGATGCTCATCACTCTCACGCTGCTGATGATAATTTCCCTCATCAGACATGTGAGCCGCTGAATCCGGGCTCACTTTAGGCCAGTAAGGGTGATCGCCGAACGGGGCCGCAGTAGGAGCAGCTGCACCTAAAGACCTGTTGAGACCACTTAGTCCTAAAGCGGAAATCGGAGGTCTCTTATCAGTCCTCTCAGCATGCTTATTCATGTGCTTACTTAAGTACGTCTCCTGAGTGTAACTCTTGCCACAATACTGGCATATATGCGTTTTTAAATGTTTCGATTCCTTGTGTTTAGGAATGTGTTCCAAAAGATCTTTTTCGTGGGTGAAGCATTTGTAGCAGGAGTTGCATTTGAATGGCTTATCGGTTTGGTGGCAGCGGCTGTGGCTTTGCAGGTTTGAGAGCTGGGAGAAAGCCTTGGTGCAGCCGATTTGGGTGCACCGGTAGGGCTTGTCACCTGTGTGGGTTCTGATGTGCTGCTGGAGGTGTGACAGCTGGGTGAACTTCCTTTGGCAGATCTCGCAGCGGTAAGGCTTGATGCCAAGGTGGATCCTGGAGTGTTGGGCCAGGTATGAGGAATTGGCGAACGCCTTGGGACATTGAGTGCAGCGGTAGGGCTTGGCCTCTCGTAGGTGAATTTGAGTGTGTAGCTGCAGGTCTGCTTTTGAGCCGAACACCTGGAAAGAAAGGAAATAGACACATTAGTATTGTTTGACAAGTAGCTGATGTTATGGGTGTAAAAGATTTTATTCACAACGATAATCAGAATATAGAAATAAATGCCTAAAACTGAGACTGAAGAGAGATGTACATATGAGTACATACATCAATTAAGTATGACATTGAACATCTTAATATTTTTGTTTAAAATTGGCCTTTTAACAATTTACTACTAAAGTCTTCTTTGTTTTCCGAATTTTTACGATTAAATAAAAATTACAATTGTCTGTCAAAAGTTAATTATGTATTTAATTTGTAAACGTTAGTTTTTTTTAAAGGAAGAGGAACACTAATTTATTGCTTAAAACATCTGAGATGTTCATAATCTGTAAGTGAAATCACGATTTTTCACGCACTGTGAAACACAAGGACAAAGTATACACGTGTTCAAGAAATAAGGATTCAATACTAAAAATATACGCTACGCATAGTTATGTAGGAATATGTAATTAAAATCTATCTATTTTGCATCCAGTGGAATCAAGTTTGTAGGTTCGTGGGATTACCTCAATGACCCAATGGTTAGATGAGAAGGCTTCGACTGGATACATTTCTAAATAAGAACTAAGTCAGCAACAGCTAAATACTTCTATTCTGTGATGATCAGAAAGCGAATGTTGCCCTTGAACGACATCCGACTTCAACTGGAACGAATTGTTTTTCTCAGCGAAACAAATTATTTGACCAGCAAGTATTGCTTGAGCTATCAAATCAATGGTTTTTCGATTAGAGTAAATATAGGGACTGTCATGTGGATCGTGACGAATTTAACCACCTTTCAACGGGTAACAACATACGCAAGAAGCCACTTGGTAGATTGCTGTTCCATTACGATAGCTTACTTAATACTGAGCACATATTCATTATTTATTTGGAAATCAGAAAGACTATGGACGAATTAAAAACTATTGGGGTACATGAAAGTAGCTTCCCTGCACAAAGTACCATTCGTTACCTGTACGTCTGGTGCACACTGGACAACAATCGGCGAATACCTTATACCGATTGGCAAATACTTTCACCACGATCCCATGATCTCGCTGACTATATTGGTTTTAATTTTGGAGAAGCGTTTGACTCACCTAACGTGATGATGAAGTCGAGGATGGAACATGGTAGTCTAGGTGTCTTTTCTCTAGTATTGAAAAGGCTCAAGTATTGTTGTATTAATGAAAACGTAAACGTAAAATAAATAATTGAGAGAAGTCAAAGCTCAAAGTATAATTGTGTGATTTTTTGTTTGTCCAGGACTCGAATAAAGACAGGATGCTTCTTCACGGATTTGTTCACGCTTCGTGATTAGCTTCCTTGAGATTCATTAGATGTACAGGATGTTCCGTTTGGTATCATCAACTCAGACAACTTCAACGAGGACAGCAAAAGATTAAGTATTGTCACATATATATTTAGAACGTATCCTTAATATACTAAATACGTTTCGCAGTTTCTGGACGTACACTATACTCGGATAGTCTTGTATTATAGTTAATCTAGTTTCCAAGAAATTAACAAGTTCAGACAATCATTCGGTATGATATAAAGTTTTTTAGGAATTTTGGAAATGGAACTATCTTTTCGGTTCGCGTTTGTTTGTTTTTTCCGTGGTCACGACTGACTGAGATGGCACAGTCATCAACTAGGTATGTCAAATATTAATGCAACGGGCTTTAAAAGGTATTCAAATTTTAGATATTGTTATTACTCACCCAACCTGTACACTACAGAATTACTTTGAACTTGAACTTAGAGGACCAATATACACGATCATTAACTCAAGTTTAAGATTTGTAGATGTGTACGAACATGGAGTTAATGATGATGTAATGACGAGTGGGTACTTCGGATACGTTTATACGGCAAGTTTTATAAGTTAAATAATAATGTCGGGGCTCCAATAGAACTAATAAATAAAATGATTAGGGAGTAGCGCATTTTAGCTTTCGGTTGACAAAGAAATCATTTTCAGAATAAAAATAACTATTTAAAATTTGTAGTCGAAGAATTGGCTTCCGAGGTTACTCATTTCAATTAGTGGGCTAGATAGAATAATCAATTGCAGTGCTCTAAGGTTCATGAACATAATACTGGGAGCTGCAGATCAGATAATCGGCGTGTAAATATTCCTGACGATGATCTTGAAAACAAGATGGAACAACATTTTAACGTAGTTTCAAGGACATAATTAGCTTGACGGAAAATTGTGTTTGGATGATATACCTACCTATTCTCAAAGCAATCCCAAAAGCTATAATTAATAAAACCCGATTATTTCCATCTGCGATGACTTCACCCACGTGCCAACAAAGCCGCCATTAGAATGCCGACACAAACTGTTTCTGTACACCATTGATACTCATTGTGATGTTCTAAATTAGTTTCTAACTCAAAATCTGACAGTCATGTTGGTAGAGGTAGATAGAGTAGCTAGTATTGTTGTATTACTTTCCAAATGAGAGAACGTAACAAAAGTGACAATTAAAGTTTGTCCTGGAGAAAAAGACTAGTATTTAAACCAAGTCAATACTTCTCTAATATCAGTGGTATTGATTTAAGTAATAGGAAGTGTGCACGTAGCAGTAACTGATGTTTGTGAAACTAAAACGGAAAGTATCAAGTAAAAATATGGTAATTAATAACTTTGCTACTCGGAAATGTTGTTCTAAGCCTCACATCTTATTAATAATTCAAAACGAGCATACAAAACGAGTTCCAAAAGCAACCTAATATTCAATATCTGTTACAAAAATAAACTCTAAAGGCTACCGGCACGTTTTATTTCAACAATGGAGCCTGGAGCACGTTCCTTCAGGCACCGAGACCTATCACACGACTCTATTTCTCATCCAAAATCATCATTACAAAAATCTTAAATCAATCTTAGGTCTAAATACCAGAGAGTTGATATTACATCATCGAGATTCAAAAGCGAGGGTAGAATTTTCATTGACAATGATGATTCATGATTAGTTGTTGAATGTTAAGAGAATAATTTTGAACTTTATTTTATAGAAGACAGAGGTGCTAGTGAAGGTAGAGGATCGAGGGAAGCGGTAGCACGTTGGATGACTAGTAAGAAATCCGAGACACGATCGAAATTGGTCACAGCCAGAGCGTAATTAAAGTTTGGTAGGGACTTAATGGTAGCCGACTTCTGATAGGAGATCGATTCAGAGGGAAGGAATCTGCTTTAAATTGGTTTGACGCCTTCCGTTTCGTTAGACGTGAAATTGGGAAATTTGGATCACTGTGCTGGGTGGGTTGATTCTTTGAAAAGAGGTTAGGTGAGATTAGATCATTTTGGAAGAACTTGAAACTGGAATTCGAACATAACATGTATAGAGAAATAATTATGCAATATAAACCTGTTAATTGTATTACAGAATACGACAAACAATATACCAATAGGTTGGTATCAAATTTGCATAATATTGCTGGTATACTAAATTGGTTATTTGCTCGCGAAGATTAATATACCTTCTGGTTAAGTAAACTATTGTTGCCCCAAAGACAGTTAAGGAAATATAAAATTTATAACACATCATCACCATTCCAAGTTAAGTGAATTAAAAAGTGCTTTAAGAAAACAAAATTGCTTAAATGTAAATAAAATTCAAACTTATGCTAATGAATTTTATAGACCAGTAGCGTTATTGTACATTTTGATAGTAATAAACAAACCGTAAAGACGATTAAGATGTTAATCAGTGACACCAATTTCAATACAAAAACTAAGCAGAAAAACCATCAAAAATATTGTACAATTTGTTCTTTTAATATCATTAATGATTTATTACCAAACACCGCTTAATTCTATCGGAGGACAAAAAATTTGGTAAAAAAACACACGAGGCAAATGAAACAACGAAGGAACGAAAGAAAACAACTAGGTAAATTATTAATAATGGAAACGTAGAACGAAAGACGTAAGGTCGTTTTTTAAATTAAGGTTTTTAAAATAAACTTCAGCAACTGCATCAATATAAGCATGATTGTTTTATAAAATTATACCTCAGACTTAAGCGTTTCTTAATGACACGTAGAAGGTGACAGAGAAGAATTGTTTGGGTTTTACGCAGCAACTATTGAAATAAAGTTGGACTTATCCAAATTATCTACAATTGGATACAAGTTTAGTTTTTAATGGTGCCTACGTAAAACATTTGTGGCATATGTGCATATATGTGTTTATTTATCAAAGTGTTTCCATTATAGTGCACATCTTAACATACAGTCCACTCGTTAATAGATGTAAAGGTAAATTTATGAAGTTTGGCTCGAACTAGGTGCTGTAAAGAATATATATCGGTCGGTCTTTGCATTTCCTTGCGCTTATAGTTGTCTGTAGTGAAATCAGTTTTTCTTTGATAAACAACTGTTTCTACATTCTTAACTTGTGTTCGTATGGTTTCGTGCTCCGTCGTCGCCACTTAATATACGAGCTCATTTTTTGCCTTTTTTATAACTCACGAGTGACGTATCACCACATTCAATGCGTCAAATGAACAAATTTATCCAAAGAACTACTAAAGCACATTCAAAACCAGATTTAACGTTGAATAAATCAAGATAAGTTCATCATAAAATTAATGAGCGCAATCCGTCGACGGTAGTCGGACAAGCGTGAAAAAACGCAACAGATTTTATAAACTAGTTTAATGTAATATTAGGTACGTTATAGAAATATTCTAAATCCTTATACCTGCGGTATACTTAAGAACGCTGTCAAGTCTGGCACAGTACATCGTCATCAACCCATTTTATACGTCTCACTGCTAGTCACGGGTCTCCTCTCAGACGAGGGTTTAGGCCGCAGTACACCATGCTAGCCCAAACTGTTGCGATGCTACTCAGAGCTTTAAAACACAAAGATTTGAGGGGACGGCCATTGCGCCCGTCACCTTGAGACATAAGTTGATAAGTCTCATGTGCCTGAAATTTCACCAGCACCCGTACCCTT